AATTGTAGAACCAACTGGTAAACAAATCATCGACATAACCATTGATTATGTTTTCTAAAAATTGTACCAAAGTCGTTTCCGCCGGTATCTGCTGTCTGAGTTTCTTGTTATTATAATCTACGGTTAAAATCGGCAGGGTCCAATATCTGTGTGACGGTATGCTGCAATAACGGTGTGTAAACCAATTGATGTTCTCTTTAGATACATCCGTCATAAATTCGCTTATGGTGTTCATTTCGAGATCGACCTCCTCCTCGTCGATACCGTGTGTGGGCAATTTAGGCTGTAAAGTCATGGTAAACTCTTTTAATCTTTGCGCGGCGACCATTACATTTTCCTTAGGTCTCGATTGCGGGCCTACCGAGTACACCAAGTCCATCACGTCTGACATGCATCTGTACCTCAATGACATCTTTTGCAGATTGGTCAGCACCAAATTAAAACAATCGTGATACCTTTGAAGCGAAGCGTTCGACGTTTTCGTGCCTACTATTGTTTTTTCTTTTCCGCAAGCCCGTATTAAATTTAGTATAAGAAGCCTGTACTTGACCATAATATCGGCATACTTACACCTGAGCACAGTCCAGATCTCCGTGTATTTCTCCAAGACGTTGAATTCATCGATTGGCTTTCGGCCCGCTGATAGCACTTCGAGTATTTCGGACATGGGGTCCGCTATTTCTCTGCGATGATTTCTATTCACTAAAATTCTAACACTGTCCATGGACCGCCATCCCGAATAATGCAACAATATGTTCAATTTATTTGTGAGTTCGGATTTTTGTGGTTCGCTTATATCGTCATCCGACACAACGCGTGTAAAACCAAGTACTGTGACCCAAACTAGTATTGAAATCAACATTTGCAAATGCATTTGGGTAGCGTTTAGTTAACAAAAAACAGTAGCGCTAATCGTTGAAGAATTTCGACTAATGTACACAGTGCTCAAAAATTGTATTATAATTTCTATTAATTTGATAGTTTGTTTAAACAAGTGCAAAAAACCATTTGCCACACGTGCCAATAATTTTCTCGTCAAACTCATGAATTAGATATGAAAACATGTTTATACAATTGACTAAACGATTATTAAATTGTATTTGTTAACGTTTCCCAAAAATTGCTTGACAGCGATTTTAATTAATATTTCATTATTTATCGTAATAAACTAAATATAGTTACTTTGACAAAGCGGCAATACCCTATAGTAGGTTGAAAAATTTCCCAATAAAACAATTAAAATGTTCAAGTCTAAACTAGAGCCGACGATTCTACACGTGTAGGACAAGGTTTGTGTAGTTTGAATTGACGTGTAGAAGTTTGTTTATTTAATACACGTGTAGTAGGACCTGAGATTCCTCTAACTTGACCCAAAGGCTATAATACTTTATCTTAGTGACAACCATTAATTAAAGAATAGTATCAAGTAAAATTGGAGGTCTTATTAAAACTTACAGTTGTAAGATTACGTGTAGTTGCAGGTACACGTGTATACTTATAACTACACGAACTTCTATACGCCAATTCAAACTACACGTAACTCGGTAGCTCTAGTCTAAATAGTCAACGAGAATGTTTAATATATTGAAAATGACAGCGACTTTTTTTAAATTTTATTATTATTTGTGTTTACTTAAAATATTTTAGTCTTTGTGTACACGTATAAGATAAGAAAATACAATTCCACGTTGCATATTTTGTTTGATAACAAGTTTTTAATACATAATTGATTAAAACAAAAATAATTTGGCAATACACAATATTGTGTTCAATAATCTACACTGTAAATTTGTAAAGGACATTTTAATTATTTCGATTTATAACGTTTCCTGTCCCGTCGTATGCGAAGCCCAAATCGAAGAAACAACTGTCCAAGATATCACTAACGTAACTATCCATTTCGTCCATTACAAATTGCACCATTGTCGTTTCTTCCGGTATCTGCAGGTTTCTCTTTTTGTTCTGGAAATCTATTTGTATACTAAACATACTGCATTCTTCTTGTGATGCAGCAATGCAATGACTCATGGCAAACCAATTTATGTGATTCTTATACACCCATAACAAAGTCGCTTATGGCTTTTATCTCTATATCGACCGCCATCTAGTTGATACCGTGTTCAGACAATTTCGAGGACGTTCTCGGTCCCACAGTTGAAGTAAACTCAGTCATTTTTTGCGTGCCGACCATTACGCCCTGCTTATATCCCACTTGCGGACCTAGCAAGTACATAAAGTCCAACGCGTCTGTCATGCATTTAAAACAATTGTAATACCTTTGAAGCGAAGCGTCGGACGTGTTTTTATTTTTATTTTTTTTTTCATTTCGGCAAACCCTTATAAAATTCTGTATGAGAATCTTGCCCCTGAAAATAACCTCAACGTACTTACACCTGAGCACAGTCCAGATCTCCTTGTATCTTACCAGCACGTTGAATTCGTCGATTGGATTCCGACCCGATGATATTAACTCGAGTATTACAGATATGGGATTTGCGACTTCTCTTTGTTGATTTTTATTCACTATAATTTGAACGTTGCTTATTTTGCGCCATCCCGAATGACTCACCAACATATTTAATTTATTTGCAAGTTCCGATCGGAGTGACTGTCTTATATTATTAACATCATCATCATTCGACACAACACGTGTAAAACAGTTTACAGCAACCCAAAACACTATTATTGAAATCAACAATTGTGAATTCATCATTGTAGCAGTTAAAAACAAAACACAATATTACACTTTTCGGTGGAAAACTTTTACTAATTCGCACAGCGTTAAAAAATTCTATTAAAATCACTATTAACTTACTTTTTATTTACTCAAGTGCCAAAACGGTTAACCAATAATATTTGCGATGAGATACACACATCAGCCCAAGTGTGATACGTTAAATAAATGACAATATATGGAGGCAGTATATTTTTACCTTTGTCTTATATTCAGCACAAAACGGCAAATATGAAACATATTTATTAGCATGTATTTTATTTTTTGAAAATTGGTACTATAACTTTTACGGTAGATTCTAGCGTCAGTGTGGCAAACTTTGTCATCTGAAATGAAATTTTGAAAAAGAAATTTGATGGTTTTATGTAAAATAAACATGATAGTATTTTTCAAAAACTGCATGACACCCAATTTATTTGAATATTCATTATTTTTTTTTGTTTACTTAAATTATATTAGTCTACGTGTACATGTACAAAGTTGTAAAACTAAATAACACGTAGTAGTTTGACGTCAAATTGTAAATACAGAACTGTTTTAAACAAAAATATTTTTATAAGTTGGAAATATACAATATTATGTTAATTTACGCTGTAAATCGGGAATAGTAATAATATTTTAATTATTCCGAACTGTAACGTTTCCCGTCCCGTCGTATGCGAAGCCCAAATTGAAGAAACAACTGTCCAATATATCACTAACGTAACTATCCATTTCGTCTATTACAAATTGCACCAAAGTCGTTTCTACTGGTATCTGCTGGTTCCTACTTTTGTTCTCCAAATCTATTTGTATTCTATATATAGACCGTTCTTCTTGTGGCGGAGCGTTGCAACGATTTTCGGCAAACCAATATATGTGATTCTTATATACATGCACGATGGAGTCGCCTATGGTTTTTATTTCGAAATCCACAGCGTTCTCGTTGATACCGAGTTCGGACAATTTCGACGACGTTTTTGGCCCAACAGTTGAAGTATACTCGGTAAATTTCAGTGCACCGGCCATTACGCCTTGCTTAAGTCCCGTTTGCGAACCTAACAAGTACATAAAATCCATTACGTCTGTCATGCATTTTAACCTCGACGACATGCTGTGGAGTTTGCTCAACAGCGAATTAAAACAATTGTAATACCTTTGAAGCGAAGCGTCGGTCGTTTTTTTATTTTTTTTTATTTTTTCATCTCGGCAAACCCGTATTACATTTTGTATGAGAATTTTGCACTTATGAAGAACGTCGGCATACCTACACCTGAGCACAGTCCAGATGTCATCGTATCTTGCTATGGCGTTGAATTCGTTGATTGGCTCTCTCCCTAATGATATTGCTTCGAGTATTATGGGCATGGGATTCACGATTTCTTTGTGTTGATTTTTTTCTACTATAATTTGAACGCTGTCCATTAACCGCCATCCCGAATGGCACACCAACATGTTTAATTTATTGGCAAGTTCCCGTTTTTGTGATTGGTCTAGGACATAATTAACCGATACAACGCGTGTAAAACAAAGTACGGTAACCCAAACTAGTATTGAAATCAACATTTGATAATGCATTTTGATAGCGATTTGTTAACAAAAAAGAGTAGCGCAAACCGTTGAAAAACTACGATTAAAGTCCACAGTGCTCAAAAATTTGGTTAAAATTTCTAATAATTTAATATTTTGTTTGTACAAGTGTCAAAACTTGTCGCCGTTTGCAACACGTGCCAATAATATTCTCGTCGAGCTAATGATTTATTTATAAAAAACGAGTTTATACAATGTTTTAATTATTTTATGATAAGTTAAGAAAACAATGAGAGTAATTTTATTTATTTATGAACATTTCGTTTAATCGACGAATGTTTCGCAATTAAAGGGCAAAATAAGGTACTAACCTTTCAAAGGTTAAAAGATTATTAAATTGTATTTGTTAATGTTTCCCAAAACTAGTTTGACAGCATGATGTTTGATTAAAATTTCATTATTTATTGTAATAAACTAAAAATAGTAACTTTAACAAAGCGGCAGTACCCTATAGTAGTTTGACAATTCCCCAATATAACAATTCAAATGCTCAAGTCTAAACAGACAACGAATATGTTTTTTTTATTAAAAATATCATTGATTTTTTTTTATTTCATTATTATTCTTGTTTAATTTAAATATTTTAGTCTATAATATGTACATGTATATGATTGTAAAATAAAATAACACGTTGCATATTTTGTTTGATATCAAGTTTTTAATACATAATTGATTAAAACAAAAATAATTTGGCAATACACAATATTGTGTTCAATAATCTACACTGTAAATTTGTAAAGGACATTTTAATTATTTCGATTTATAACGTTTCCTGTCCCGTCGTATGCGAAGCCCAAATCGAAGAAACAACTGTCCAAGATATCACTAACGTAACTATCCATTTCGTCCATTACAAATTGCACCATTGTCGTTTCCTCCGGTATCTGCTGGTTCCTCTTTTTGTTCTGCATATCTATTTGTATTCTATATATAGACCATTCTTCTTGTGGCAAAGTGTTGCAAAGGTTGTTGGCAAACCAATATACGTGACTGTAGTATACACCCATGATAAAATCGTTTATTGATTTTAACTCGATGTCGACAGCCCTCTCGTTAATACCGTGTTCGGACAATTTCGCAGACGTTCTCGGTCCTACAGTTGAAGTAAACTCGGCCAATTTTTGTATACCGAACATAACGCCTTGCTTTTGTGCCGATGACGAACCTAGCATAAACATAAAGTCCAACGCGTCTGTCATGCATTTAAACCTCGGCGATATGCTGTGGAGTTTGCTCAACAGCAAATTAAAACAATTGTAATACATTTGATTTGGTGAGTCGGACGCTTTTTTATTATTTTTTTTTTCATTTCGGCAAGCCCGTGTAAATTTTTGTATGAGAATCCTGCACCTGGAAATAACATTGGCGTACTTACACCTGAGAACAGCCCACATATCATTGAATCTTGCTATGACGTTGAATTGGTGGATTGGCTCACGTCCCGATGATATTGCTTGGAGAATTTCGGACATGGGATTTGTGACTTCTGCGTGTTGATATTTATTTACTACAAATTGAACGCTTCTCATAGTCTGCCATCCCGAATGACGCACCAACATGTTTAATTTATTGGCAAGTTCCGATTGGTATGATTGTCTTATGATATAATCATCATCACCATCATCATCTGACAAAACGCGTGTAATACAATGTACAGCAACCCAAAAAACTATTATTGAAATTAACGTTTGCGAATGCATCATTAGAGCGGCTAAAAAACAAAACACAATATTACACTTTTCGTTGAAAAACTTTAACTAATGAACGCTGTTCGAAAACTCGATTAAATTTGCTATTAATCTAATTTTTGTTTACACACGTGCTAAAACTATTAACCAATAATATTCGCGATGAGCTGCAAACAACGTCCCAACATGATTGAGATTTGTTCGGTTGCTTAACCACTGGTTTTGAAATTGTAAAAAAAACTTGTTCAAGTAACGGATGTAGAGATAAATGATAATGAAATGTCCAATGTTTATAGAGCTAAAATTGTAAAGATAAAAACATAGGTATAAAAAAAATGTTGTTACTTTTTTACATGAAAATGTATTAAAAATAGACTTAAGGGATTTTTAGAAAAAAACAATTTTTTTAGTTGCAATCAATTTGGTTTTAGAAAATAGTTATCTACTTATCATGATTGTTTTCACGTAATCAAGTATATTTATTAAATACATTTATTTAAAAGTTTTAAGTTTATTTAAAAAAAAAAGGCTTTAGGAATACTTATCCTAATTACTTAAAAAAAGCTTTTGATTCTACTGATCAATAAATAATGAATTGAAAATTTGAGTGTTGTGGTTTTTTGGGAATACTTTTAGATTTATTGAAATCATATTTTACTAATAGATCTCAGGTTGCCAGTTTTTTTTTAGTGGAAAGATTAAAACAACATGTGCTGTTTGTTTCTCAATGCACAGTTTTAGGGCCTATAATATTTAAAAAAAATACAAATGGATTTTTAAATGTAAATTTTGATGGTGATGTTTTTTGCTTCTCCGATAATACTATATTACTTTTTAATGACAATTTTATAGAAAAACTGTATAAAAAGCTAGTTTTAAATTAGTTAAACAGTGGTTGGATAATAGTTCTTTAGATTTAAATCCTGCTACTTGTACTTAAATGTAACTAATTAAAAAATGTACTTGTTTTGGAGTAACTAAGTCTTGTTTCATAATATTATTATATCATATAGCTTTAGCAATTATTTTGTCTGATATTGCTAATTACTTTTTAACTGTTTAAAAATTACATAAATAGTGTACAACTTAATGAATTTATAATAAAATATATACACACTATTAAAATTGTTTATAGTATTATAATGTAGTCTACATTTTAATTTTGAACTTCTACTCACATCACAGGTTTCAGAGAGTACACTACTAAAATTATTTCATAAAATGCATAAATATGTTGTTAGTTCTTAAACTACACTAGTAATTTTTACAAAGTAGTAATCCCCTCTAGTAGTTTGACTATTCGCTAAATAAAACAATTTCAATGTTTAAGTGTAAACTGACATGAAAAGTTAAATCATTTGTACATGACAAACGCCAGATGTTCTGAATTCTAGTTTTATATTATAATACTTTCGTACGGTGACCCAAACTAGTATTGAAATCAAGATTTGCAAATGCATTTGGTTAACGTTTAGTTAACAAAAACCAGTAGTGCTAATCGTTGAAGAATTTCGACTAATGTACACACTAAAAAATTACTAAAAAATTGTATTATAATTTCTATTAATTTGATAGCTTGTTTAAACAAGTGCCAAAAACTATTCGACGTTTGCCACACGTGCCAACAATATTCTCGTCGAACTCATGATTTAGGTATGAAAACATGTTTATACAATTAATTAAACGATTATTAAAAAGTATTTGTTAACGTTTCTCAAAAATTGCTTGACACCGATTTTGATTAATATTTCATTATTTATCGTAATAAACTAAAAATAGTTACTTTGACAAAGCGGCAATACCCTATAGTAGTTTGAAAAATTTCCCAATAAAACAATTTAAATGCTCAAGTCCAAACTAGAGCCGACGATTCTACACGTGTATTTAAAATACACGTGTAGGATAAGGTTTTTGTAGTTTGAATTGACGTGTAGAAGTTTGTTTATTTAATACACGTGTAGGACCTGAGATTCCTCTAACTTGACCCAAAGGCTATAATACTTTATCTTAGTGACAACCATTAATTAAAGAATAGTATCAAGTAAAATTGGAGGCCTTATTAAAACGTACAGTTGTAAGATTACGTGTAGTTGCAGGTACACGTGTATACTTATAACTACACGAACTTCTATACGCCAATTCAAACTACACGTGTTATCGGTGGCTCTAGTGTAAATACACAACGAGAATGTTTAATATATTGAAAATTACAGCGACTTTTTTTAAATTTTATTATTATTTGTGTTTACTTAAAATATTTTAGTCTATGTGTACACGTATAAGATAAGAAAATACAATTCCACGTTGCATATTTTGTTTGATATCAAGTTTTTAATAATTGCTTTAAACAAAAAAATCTCCATGAGTCGGAAATACACAATATATTATGTTTATTAATCTACATTTTAAATCGGTAATGGATAGTAATATTTTAATTATTCCCGATTATAACTTTACCCGTCAGATCGTAGGCGAAACCCAACTCGAAGAAACAACTGTCCAAGATATTACTAACGTAACTATCCATTTCGTCTATCACATATTGCATTAAAGTCGTTTCTACCGGTATCTGCTGGTTCCTCTTTTTGTTCTGCATATCTATTTGTATTCTATATATAGACCATTCTTCTTGTGGCGGAGCGTTGCAACGATTGTTGGCAAACCAATATATGTGCCTGTTATATGTATTTACGAAGAAGTCGCTTATGTTTTTTATTTCGATATCCACAGCGTTTTCGTTGTAACCTAGTTTTGACAATTCTGTTGACGTTCTCGGTCCTACTGTTGAAGTATACTCGGTAAATTTTTTCGTGCCGTCTATTATGCCTTGCTTAAGTCCCGATTGCGGACCTAACAAGTACATAAAGTCCAACGCGTCTGCCATGCATTTAAACCTCGACGATGAGCTGTGGAGTTTGCTCAACAGCGATTTAAAACAAATGTGATACCTCTGAAGCGAAGCGTCGGTCGTTTTATTTTTTTCTATTATTTTTTCTAATCGGCAAACCCGTATTACATTTTGTATGAGAAGCCTGCACTGCAAAAGAACCTCGGCGAACTTACACCTGAGCACAGTCCAGATCTCCTTGTATCTTTCCAGAATGTTGAATTTGTCGATTGGATTCCTGCCCGATAATATTTCTTCGAGTATTATGGGCATTGGTTCCTCGATTTCTCTGTGTTGATTTGTATTTAATATAACTTGAACGCTCCTCATGGCTTGCCATCCCGAATGACGCACCAACGTGTTTAATGTATTTGCAAGTTCCATCATATGTGCTTGTCTCATCGTCGACTCAACGTTTGTGAAAAAAAGTTCACCAACCCAAAAAATTAGTATTGAAATTAACTTTTGCAAATGCATTATCGTAGCGTCTAATTACCAAAACGCAGTTGGTGTGTTCGATGAAAACCTTTAACTAATGTACGCAGCGTTCAAAAAGTCGATTAACATAACTATTATAATTTAATTTTTTGTTTAAACAAGTGTCAAAACTATTCGCGATGAGCTGTTTGTCTACACACAACGTCCTAAGTCGGATACGTTAGTTATCTGTATTTTTTTTTAAATCAAAACCACATACGCTACCAACTATTAAACAGTAAGACAATGCCATATTTGTTCATACAATAATATAGGTATTTTAATTAATTTGTATATAATTATATAAAATCATCTATTTTTCTTCAATATATTTAAATTTGCTGTTGTTCCTCGTTTTAAGTTTATAGTATATATTTATGATTGTCGTCGCTTCTAACATGCTTATTCACCTCTCTCTATCCAATGTCGCTCCCATATCCAGCAATGGACCTCCTTATTTTTTTTGTCCTACTGTATCATACCATCACTGTCGGGGCCTGTCTTTTGGTCTTAAAATACTGTATCATAAAATTCTTTAGACTTGTATGTATTAAATTCCTCAATCACAAAAATGTGGCAAGGTTTTTATAGACCTTGTTGTTATAAATGTGGATTAAAAGCGTATTATTAAAATTAAGTGTTTAAACATTTAGCATAACATTTATATTTGATATATAACTAATTACATAGATATAAATATACGCATTTAAAAGCAGTTGTTCATAATAATTATTGAAGTGAAAAAAATTATTGATTTCAATTATTTCAACTGTCTCAAAATAATATTGAGTTACTACAAAAACAACTAACTTATCAACTAATTTTTAATTTGTGTTATGCTAAATCATTGGTTATTACCTTTAACATATAACAATATTTGTGTAAGTAACTGGATTCGTAATATTTCACAGCGAATCTAGTAAAACTGAAAATGTAAAAATTCCAATATTGTGTAGTAGTGTATTTAACATAAAAAACAATATATAGGATAATTTTAGAAAAAGCAATAAAATAATTAACTGTCTTTAAGATCCTCTACATAGTTAAGTTACGTTAATATTAATAAATAAGCAACGGCAACATTTGATTTTTAGTTAAACCGACTTACACGTTTAAAATCGTTATAGATATTTAATTTAAAAAAATATAGTTTACTAAAAAAACCAAATGCTTAGTTAACCTAACTACTTAAAAACAACTAACTAAGTTTGTTATTTTTAACTCAAATGATCTAGTTGGCGCAACCATATTATAATAGATCCAACCAATTTTTTTCTAACCATTTACTATGACCAAATAATTTTTTTCCGTGTAGTGGTTGTACTGATGTTATTTTGTTGTTATGTCATATCAATTATAATAATTTAAAAAAGGTAATCAATTCTGTAGCCGGGAAATCTTAAATTGATGGTTTGGACCCAATTTTAGCATAATTTAGGAAACATTTTCTGTTAAGATGAAAGAATGTATTAATTCAAACTCTTTAAGTTAAGTGTTATAAACAAGAGGCTAGTAATAAGTTGACTAAATTAAAACCTTGAAACACTTAAGGTTTAATTACTTCTGTTGGCTTTAGAGAAAAGCTAAGAGTTGAAAACAAATTTTATTAAGTATAGAAATGTGTGAAGTAGTGTAATAAATTAAGCTAGAAGTTTAGATTTTCAAACAACGACTCTAAAACTAATGTTTGATATTAAATCCCATTTTTTAAAGTTTCCCAGCGAAGTTGACAGCGATTTTTATTTTATAAAATTCTATTACTTATCGTGTTTACATAAATAATTTCAGCTTATGTGTACATGTACAAAGTTGTAAAATATAGTACCACTTTGATCATTTTGCATGGTATCAAATCTATATATATATATATATATATATATATATATAATATGAATGTCTGTTTGTTCTTTATGCATTGGTACACCATTCACCGATCGCCATGAAATCCATGTTGAGTTCACTCCCGAGAACCTAACTGGCATAGTACTTTTCGAAAAATCCACCCCTAAGGGTGGCCTTAAACACGAACTTTTTAATTTAAATACAAAATTTAAATAAATTAAGTGTTTGTAACCATAATAACCCAAAATAAACACTTGGTTAATAACCATGGGAACCACGGTACTCGAGCAAATGAAAGGTGATGATTAAAGGAACACGCCGATTCTATGTACCATAATTCTGGGCATGATTGCAACTGTAGGAACGGGATCTGGGACTGAGACAGGGACCTTTAAATAAGAGGAGGACGTAATAACCGTAAAAAGTGTCACAAAAACGCTGTCACACTGTAATCTGATATGAGATAAGAGAATAGAGATGAGAGATGAGGACGGAAATGGGGGAATGGGAATTATTTTACTCAGCCCTGGTAGACTAATTCTCGAGCAACGCCGGGTCCGGACAGCTTGTTGTTAATAAAAATTGTATTAAACAAATATAAATCGGAAATACACAATATTATGTTTATTAATCTACACTGTACATTTGTAATGGCAAATTTAATTATTCCGAATTGTAACGTTTCCCGTCCCGTCGTATGCGAAGCCCAAATCGAAGAAACAACTGTCCAAGATATCATTAGCATAACTATCCATTTCGTCCTTGACAAATTGCACCATAGTCGTTTCTTCCGGTATCTGCTGGTTACTCTTTTTGTTCTGGAAATCTATTTGTAATCTATACATACTGCATTCTTCTTGTGACGCAGCAATGCAATGACTCGAGGCAAAACAATATATGTGATTCCTATATACACCCATAATAAAGTCCTTAATGGTTTTTATCTCTATATCGACCGCCTTCTCGTTGATACCGTGTTCGGACAATTTCGACGACGTTCTCGGTCCTACAGTTGAAGTAAACTCGGTAATTTTTTGGGTGCCGATCATTATGCCTTGCTTATATGCTGCTTGCGGACCTAGCAAGTACATAAAGTCCAACGCCTCTGTCATGCATTTAAACTTCGACGAAATGCTGTGGAGTTTGCTCAACAACGAATTAAAACAATTGTAATACCTTTGAAGCGAAACGTCGGACGTTTTTTTATTTTCTTTTTTTTTTTCATTTCGGCAAACCCGTATAAATTGTTGTATAAGAATCCTGCACCTGAAAATAACTTCGGCGTACTTACACCTGAGCACAGTCCAGATCTCCTTGTATCTTACCAGCACGTTGAATTCGTCGATTGGATTCCGACCCGATGATATTAACTCGAGTATTACAGATATGGGATTTGCGACTTCTCTTTGTTGATTTTTATTCACTATAATTTGAACGTTGCTTATTTTGCGCCATCCCGAATGACTCACCAACATATTTAATTTATTTGCAAGTTCCGATCGGAGTGACTGTCTTATATTATTAACATCATCATCATTCGACACAACACGTGTAAAACAGTTTACAGCAGCCCAAAAAACTATTATTGAAATCAAAAATTGCGAATGCATCATTGTAGCGGTTAAAAAACAAAATACAATATTACACTTTTCGGTGAAAAACTTTAACTAATTCCCACTGGATTACATTTTTTTTTTAAATCACTATTAATTTACTTTTTGTTTACTCAAGTGCCAAAATTGTTAACCAATAATATTCGCGATGAGCTACTTACATCAGCCCATGTCTGATACGTTCAATAAACGATAATATATGGAGGGAATATATTTTTACTTTTCTCTTATATTCAGCTCAAAACGGCAAAACTGAAACATTTTTATTAGCATGTATCTGATTATTTGAAAATTGATACTATAACTTCTACGGTAGATTTTAGCGTTAGTCTGTCGAATTTTGTCATCTAAAATGAAATTTTGATGGTTTTATGTAAAATAAACATGAAAAATATATATGGTACATTTTCTGATCTATAAGATTGTTATATTATTAGAAATTGGCCAGGTGGTTTAAAAAATATCTTCATCTTAGACACAAATAAACGGTTGACGCATTGTTAAAAAAACTGACAGTATTTTTAGGAAAATTTACCTTTTGAAATAATTAAGTATCCTAGATTTATAATAAAACTTAAAAATTGATAATTATGATTTTTTAGTTTTTTATATTCCAAAAATTAACAAACTCGTTTTTTAACGAAACATTTAGAAGGTTCAGAGTTAAAACATATGAATTACAAAAAAAAAACAATACTGCGAAGGTCAAATTATCGTGTAACACCCTATATATTTTTTTATGTACCTAATATATTTAAGAGAATGTAGTTGAATTAACAGTTGAAAAAATTGTTTTTTATAATTTATTTGATGATTAAAGATTACAATAATTGTAAGATGATAACTGATTACTTTTACACAATGAATTATGATTAATCTAATCATGATTATATTGTTGTACTCGATATTGTAGTGTAATCATAAAGATATTGGTTATGCTGAACACTGTTAGAAGGTATTGTCTTAACAAATTTGTTCATGTCTCGACACATTTCTTTAAATTGCAAAAAAGATTTCTTCGTTCACAAAATCTATGGATCAAAAATCTTACCTAAATAGTACTTAATAGATTAAAATTTCGGCCAATACAAGAATTTAAAGTTTCAAGTCTAAATTGACAAAAATAATGTTAGTATATTGCAAACGAGAAACACCAGTTGTGTATCCTGTTTGTTTATTAATATTTTTCAAAAACTGCATAACACTCAATTTATTTGAATATTCATTAATTTTTTTTGTTTACTTAAATTATATTAGTCCACGTGTGCATGTGCCAGGTTGTAAAATTAAATAACACGTATTAGTTTGATATCAAATTGTAAATACAAAATTTTTTTACACAAAAATATCTTTACAAGTAAGAAATATACAATATTATGTTGATTTACGCTGTAAATCGGCGATAATAATAATATTTTAATTATTCCGAACTGTTACGTTTCCCGTCAGGTCGTACGCGAAGCCCAAATTGAAGAAACAACTGTCCAATATATCACTAACGTAACTATCCATTTCGTCTATTACAAATTGCACCATTGTCGTTTCCTCCGGTATCTGCCGGTTGCTCTTTTTGTGTTCAAAATCTAAGTATAAGT